GAGTGCAGTTTACTAAAGCATTACCTAAGCCTATTACACATTCATCACTAATTTAATTGTCACTTTTTAAATATTTAAGAAAAAAATATAATTAATTATTTAGAATAAAAATTGAAGAAAAATATGAAATAATTAATAATAAAATTAAAATTCTAAAATGAATAAATTAATAAGTTAAATTAACAAACAAACAAATACATGCAGAAAAGAAAGAAAAATAAATCAAATAAAAAGCTAAAATATTAAATAAAAGCTTTAAATTCATTTTTATTATTAAAAAATATCAAAATCAAAAACAAATAAAATATTGATACTCAAGAAAAAGTGTCAGATTTGAGAGATTAGTGCAGCTTGCTAAAGCATGACATAAACCTTACATACCTTCACCACCAATTTAATTGTTACTTTTTAAATATATAATTAATTAGTTAGAAAAAAAATGGAAGAAAAATAAGAAATAATAAGAAATTAATTAATTAATTACAAATTTAAAACTCTAAATAAAAAAATTAATTAGTTTAATTAACAAACAAACAAACAAACAAACAAAAAAAAAAGTATACATATATACATACAAAATATATATTTTAAATTCATCTTTATTTTAAATAATACAATGATCTTTCACAAATAAATTGTTTTTACCTAAGTCCAAGTATCAAATTTGAGAGATAAGTGCACTTCGATAAAGCAGATACTAAGCTTGATGCACCAGTTGCACCAATTTAATTCCTACTTTGTAAATATTGAAGAAAAAAATATAATTAATTTGTTAGTTAGATGAAAAAAATGAAATATATGAAATAATTTCTCGAATTATCTAAGTATTTTTGATTTACTTTCATTCAAAAGTAAATTAAAAATTAACAAATTTACAATTCATTCATTAGTATAGCCTATCCTAAATTAAAAAGATTTTGAAAGCTATATATATATATTTTAAATTCATTTTTATATTAAAAAGTATCACACTCCAAAATAAATAAACTATTTTTACTATAGATTAAGTGTCAAATTTGAGAGATTACTGCAATTTGCTAAAGTAGAACCTAAGCCTGATGCGCTTTCATCATCAATTTATTTGAAACTTTTTAAATATTGAAAAAATATATATATAATTTATTAATTAGTTAGTTAGATGGAAAATATTAAAAAATGAAATAATAAGAAATGAATTTATTAATAATAAAAGAAAAAGTAGAAAATGAAAATTAAGTTAAAATAATGAAATAAATAAATAAATATCTGTTTTAATAAAAATGAGAGTATGTGTGTGAAAAAATATTGTAAATAACTTGAAAATTAATTATAAATAAATTAAATACCTCAGATCAATGTGGAGAACCTAATGAGATTAAAGCTCAGAATTTATAAACTTTTTTTATTAATAAAAATGAATTGAAAGAATAATCATAAAAAAATAAATAATTACATTTTATAGATCCTAAAAATATTTTTTCTATGATATCATTTATTTTTTTTTATCAAAAATATTTATTAACAATTTATGGAAATATTATTAATTAATTACAAGTATATTAAAAAATAAATTACTATTATTTCAAACCAATTTTTTTTTGACTTGGTTATTGAGTATATTTTATTAAACTTTTGCAAAAGGTTTTTTGCCATTTTCATTAAAAAAAATAAAAAATTTCATATAAAGTTAGTTAATCAAAACATTTGATCAAGATACAAACACCATACTAACTAGCACCTACTTGTATTTAAAAACTTACTTTCTAAACTTAATACATATTTCATAAAGAATAAATAATAAAGTTAAAATATTTTAATTTTTTCAAAGCAAATGCTAAATTAGTTGATTGGATACTTATAATTAATTATAAAATTATAATAAATAAATTTTAAATTTTAAGAGAAAAAATTATGATGAATAAATTGTAAATTTAACTTAAAATATAAAAAATTTAAGAAATAAAGAAGTTATTTTATAAGTTTTATTTATTAAAATTTAGAGAAAAAAATGCTTTAAGAAAAATAAAATTATTCTGATATTAATGAAGTAAAATACAATATTTTTTTTATTGAAGTACCTTAGAAGATTTTTATATGAATTAAAGTTTATAACCTCTAACTTAGCCAACCACCTTAATCTGAATTTAAATTTCTAGTAATTTATTACTTTATTCAAAATTTATTTAATTCATAATTATTCCATTCAAAAAGTTGCATTAAATATTTGAATAATTATATTCATATTCAATTGATAATCAAAATAAATAAATTGTTTTAATCAAAAATTATTTTATAATAAAAGAAATAATAAATTAGAGGACGAATTTGCAATAAAATTAGCTCTTTCATTAGCTAATTGCTCATAACTAAAGACTTTAACTCTTAATTTGAAGTAGAAAAAATTCATTCTTTTAATGAAAGCTTTTTATATAAATTCAATAAAAATATAAAAAATTTAAACAATTTATTTAAAAGAATATTGACGAAAAATTAATATTTTAAAATAAAGTTAAAATAATTTCAGTTAGCAGGGTGCTATAAATCTATGCTCAGCTTTGGTTAAGTGTAAAAATCTATCATCCTTACATCTAAATTTAAGGTAAATAAATTTATTTTTAGTTTTAACCAAAGATATTTGTAAAATAATTATCTCTCTTTCTTTGCATAATATTCTTTTATTTTAACTTGTTAAAATTTTATTTTATAAAATAAACTTTTCAATTTAAGCTTATTATTTAGTTATTAATAAAATAATTTGTAACTCAGATTTATTTATTTATATATTTATTTAGATATTTATTTAGATATTTATATTTCATTATTGAAAGCTTAGAATATTTTTTACTAATTATAAGATCAAATAAAATTGGCGAATTGGGAGGTTCTTACATAGGTTTTAGTTTAGCAAATTGTTCAAGCATCAAAATCTTAAAACTTAACTTAAAGTAAAAGCCAATTAATTATCAGATTTTTGCAAAGAATTTTGTTCCAAACCTAAAAAAACAATATATAATTTATTTATTTATTCATTTATATTGTCTAGGTTAAACAGTATCGGTATATAAGGCACAATTGGCTTAAGCTAAGCTTTAGAAAACTTTAAAAATATAGAAGAATTATACCTTGATCTAGGGTAAAATATTAATTTTTATAAATTTTTTATATTGAATAAAAATAATTAATTTCTTATTATAACCATGACTTATTTGAATTTAATTGGATATTATAATCTTAATTTTGTAAGGTATAACAATAAAATCAAAAATGAAGGAGTATTGAGCTTAGGTTCTGCTTTAGCAAAGTGTGACAATCTTAAAATTTTAAAGCTTTAACTTGAGTAAATTATTCTAAATTAAATAAAATTAATTCTTCATTAAAATAAATAAATTCAATATTTTTCATTTTTGTTTAATCAGAAAAAAATAATTTTCTTCTTTTTTAAAATGTTTCATTTTCAACATATAAATTATTTACAAAAATCATTCTAGGTCAAATAAAATTAAAAACAAAGGAGTTTCTGGATTATGTTAATCACTCTCTTAATGCAAAAAGCTACAAAAATTAGCTCTTCTGCTAGAGTATAATTAAATTTTTCAATATTAAAAGTATTTAATTTATCATATTATAAAGCTACAATAAAATATTTGACTTAGGGATTTCATAACTAGCAAAAGCTTTAGCTTAAAGCGTAACTATCACTTCCTTTCGTCTCAGTTCTCAGTTAAAAAAATTAATATTGATTCTTTTGTAAAACTATTTTTCAAGGAGGATAAAAAATAAAATAAAATTTAATGAATACTAACAATATTTAGATAATTGATTATAAATATTTTATGTTAAATATTTTTTTATCAATTAACCACCCCCATCCTCCGAAACATCACCCTTTTAAATAATAAAATTAAATAAATAAATACATAAAACTTTTAGAGATCATTCCTTACTAAAAGTCAGAAAACAAGTTTGTTAGTAGATTGGTTCATTGATTAATTATATTTTTAAATATTTTTTAACTTTAATTAAATAATTTTAATTTTTTAGCGATTTTAATTTTGTTAATTTCCTCAACAATCTATAAAAGGTAAAACTATATTTAAGATAATGGAGCAACTGGCTTAGCTTCAGCTTTAATTAAATTTAAGTCATTAAAGACTTTAAAAATAAATCTAAGGTGAGAATGTTTATTTTTTTTAATGCATTATTTGTCCTTAATAAATAAATAAAGTATGTTTGATAAAAAATTTAATAAAATACTTATGATTTATTTATTAGTTTTGATAATTTTTAAATATTTTTTAATGATAATTTATCAATAAAGTTATAATTAAATTGGAGATTTTGGAGCATAGAACTTAGGTATCTCGTTAGCAAATTGCTCTAATATCTCAAATTTAAAGCTTCTACTTTAGTAAATATTTTATGATAAAAAATTTGATTCATTTATAAACTAAAAACTAAAATTAATTATTATTTTTATTAATATATAAATTAATTAAAAAATAAATAATTTATATTACTATTAAGCAAATATTACTTCAATACATTTATTTAACTACTCTCAAATATTTTCATTTATTTAAAAAAAATAATCTAAATAACTAACTAACTAAATAACTATTATACTTTTAATAAAAAGTTCAAATAAACTTGGTCAAAAAGCTGGAATAGGTTTAAGTTAAATTTTTACTAACACTGGCCTTCAAAGTCTTTCAATTATTTTAGTGTATAATTTATTTTTATATCTACTAAACTCATATTTTACAATTATTTTAATTTAAATTATTTAGATTATTTTTTTTTTCAATTAAACAGTATCTTACGATTGTTTTGAAAATTTAGTATATTGATATTTCTTCTTCAAAATTTTTTTATCTTATTTTAGATCTAATTAACTTGAAAATGAGGCAGTAAAAAGTATTGGTATTGCTATGAATGACTGTACAAACTTAAAAAATTTATAACTTCACCTCTAGTAATTTATTTTTTAAAACAAACAAACCTACTTTTTTTATAAATTTTAGTTTGATAAAATTAATCTTGAAATTAAATACTATTTAATTTAATTTTTATTTGTTAATATTATTTTCTAAATTAAATAAATTGTAGTTAGAATGAATTTAACTCTGAAGGATTGTTATTTATTAACTCTGCTTTAAAAAAATGCATTAATCTTTAAACAGTCAGTATAACGTAAAAGTTTATTCAATTAATTTGTTTGATTTGAGTCAAAATTATAAATATTTTTTATAAATTAATATTTGATAATTTTTGTGATTTAAATAATCTAATAAATTACAAATTAATTCATTAAAAATAGATTTAATAATATTGAATATCAAACCTGTTATTTAATGAAGATAACTTTAGCAAAGATAAAAAAATTAGTATTAAAAACTTTAAGATATCATAATTGATAATTTATTTAAAATAAATAAGTAAACAGACCTACTTATTTTTATACTATATTTCAACATTTTATTCTTATTTAAAGTATTTTAATACATGCATCTTTATGTATTCTTATTTTATATTTATTTTAATTTTAGTATAAGTTTCTTTTTTAAAAAAATAAAATTCAAATTAATTAAATAAGTAAATATAAACTTCATTTTAGATAATAATATAAAAAATATAAATATTACACCTAGCTTTTAGCTTTATAAAGTAAGCAAAAATCTATCTATCTATCTATCTATCTATCTATCTATCTATATTTATTTACCTATTATTATTATAACAATGTATATTGAAGACCTCAAAAGAGGTTAGAATTAGGTACATTTTTGGATTAGACGTCTCAAAATTTTTGAGAGAATCCATAATCATGGTTATGAATTAAATCATGGATATTCAAATTATAAACATTAACGCAGAAAATACTAACTTATTTTTAGTTTAAATAGTTTTTTTTCTAAAAAAAGTCATACTTACTTCTTAAAACCATATAAAAAATCATATAATATTTTTTTTTAAAATATAAAACAGAAAATTCATTCATTTATAAATAAACAGCAAAACCTTCTTTTTTAGCAATGAATAAGCAGTAAAATTGTATTAATTTGGTTTTTTCCTACTAGGGCAAAAAGCTAGCTTGATCAAAATAAATTAAATAAACAAATAAATAAATAAAACTTAACCAATAATCTTAAATTTTTTGATTGTTATTGATTTTAGTTTATTTTTCTATTTTGTGCATTAATTATTTATTTTATGTATTTATACAAACATACATTGTCTTATAAAGCCCATTACATAATTATTTTTAAATTTGATATTCTATTTATCATATATCTTTTTATCTTTATAAGAAATTTTATTTTTAAAATAAAATTTATTCAACTAACTTAAATTATATTTAAAAATATTATAAGTTTAAGTTCAGTAATGAAAAAAACTATTTTTTTACTGAAATTAACATTTTTCATATTTGCTCAATAATTCCCCATTTTTTTTCATTGAATAATTAAATTTATGCTCAGACACAACGATTCACATTTACCTAAATTTTGAATTTTTCTCACTTTACCAAAAGTAAGCTTAGGAAATGGTGAATAAGTCATTAAGCGAAGATATTTATAAAATTTTATCAAAATTAAAAAATTTTTACCCACATTTTTAAAAGAAATCAAAATTATGAGAATTTAATAAGGAAAAGCGAGTTAAAATAAATAAATTTCTTTTACAAATTAATGTAATTAATAATTTAGAAATTATGAAATATTTTCTACCATGTTTCAAAAAATACATCGACATTTATTTTATATTTCAAGGGAGTTTTTAAATGTGCAATAAATATATATATTAAATTAATTAATTTTTACTAAATTTATAATTCTAATTTTTAATAAATTTTTGATAGCTAAATATAATTTAGTAAAAGCCCAATTAAAAAAAAAATATTTTGGAGTGCTTATACATCAGTAGCAACATAAAATAAGTTTGCTTAAAATTACTAAGGATTTTTTTAGAAATGTTTTACACTATAAATTATGAAAAGAAATTAAATAAATAAAAAATTTAATATATAATTTAATATTGAATTTTCTTTAGAAAAAAACAATAATGAATCAATCAATCAGTTTTTTGAATTATTTTTGTGGTTTTCTTCCTTTGATTCTTCCTACTAACTCTCTAATTAGTTTTGTATAAGTAAATTTTTTAAATATTGGATGGATTTTTTAGAACTTTCATTATTATTTTATACTTAAGTTTTTTGAATTTTAATGAGTTTTTCATTATCATTTTTGTTTTAGAAACTTTTTTTTGTTTTGTAAATTTATTAAAATGCCTGATTTTTTCTCAAAAGGACTGAATAAGAGAGAATAACTCTGTCATAGTTATTTTAAGGTAAATAAACTTAGTAATTTTTTAGCGTTTCGAATTAAAAATAACCTTGTTACATAGTCAGGTCATGAGGCATTTAAACCAGTTCTTTTAACTGCTTAATAAGCGTTTCATTTACCTATCTTTAGTTTATACTACTTAATTACTTGCTCATTAATAGAGGATTCAAAGATTTCTTTTTATGAAGAGCTTATGTTATCAAGGTATTTCTTTTTATATTTTCTCTCAAATTAGCATATTCTTTTTACTTTTGCTGCTGTTCATTTTGGTTAGCTATTTTTTATTGATTTATTTACCTGTTGTAGAATTAGTTATCATCTTGTACATTTTAGTAACCAACTTAAGAGTAAGTGTCTTAATTGCTCAACTAATTAGAAGACTCATAATATACATATTGTTAAATTATATCGTTAATATAAGGATTATTTGCTTAAGGATTATGGTACTAAATTCCATGTATAGTTTAGTTGTTAATATTATTTTAACCATTATTTTGGTGGTAATAATTTGCACTATTCAGGTTCACATAAATATTATTATTAGCAGATTTAGGAGATGTATCAGAGATATTGGATTGGTGGCGCTGTCTATTAGTTGGAGTATTGAAATTTGAGCAATCTCCAGCAGTTTAATAGTGATGAAAGCTAATCGGAGTAATATTATTATTGATAAATTAAGAAGACTAAACTTGAATAGACTTGTTATCTGCTTAATTATCTTCATTATTTTCTTACAGCGAATTTATAGAGAATTATACTTTTTTGTTTAAATTAAAGGCATGAGGGCTCTGCGAGAAATCGTCATATGCTGAAAATGTATGTTAAAAGTTATTATTAGATTTCTATTATATTTGCACACTAGACTTATCAAACGGATATAACTCTGAATACATATTCACACTTTAGCTATCTTAAATATTAGCAATTATATTCTTCACTTTCTAATATTAAATTTTGATGTTGGCGAGTTGATTTTAAATACCTTAGCTTGTCTTCATTTTCTAAAAATATTATTGGTTTTATTATTAGTTTACAGTTTTCAAGCTAGGATGGCTTGCATTTCCATAATTACCCTTGAATTAAACGATCTAATCTTAAAACTCTAACTAAATGAGCTCATTGAACCATCCTTTCGTATATAAATCTTCAATATTATCATCTACAAATTATCTAGCTCTATCTTCAATTTAATCTTATATTTGCAGAGTTTGGTAAGAGAACTTTCTTCTTTAAATATCTTTGTCTCTTACTTAAAAATCATTCTTCACATAATCTTTTATGATCTAACGTTGATAAATAATAAATTAATGATTAAATAATTAATAATCAATCTATTAAAAATATAATGGAAATAATAAGAGATTAATTAATATTTTCTTTATAAAAAATTTTAATAAAAGTTAAGACAACTTTTAAAAATTATTTTATTTTATTTGTATTTACTCTTATACCATTAAAATCTATTTAATTTTCCTATGTTAATTAGTAACAATTTATTAGAAATAATTAATCTTTGAATAGGGTTTTTAGTATATAACTCAACTTTAATTGTCTAAAATTATCATTAAAAATATTTATTTATCTGAAAAATAATAATTGTTTTATTTAGTTAAATTTGAATAAAATTTTACTTAAAAATTTAACATATTAACTTGAAAAAAATTTTGCTTTAAAAAAAATATTTTTTAATTGAGTTATCTTAAAATACAATTTTACTTACAAATTTTACATTTTAATTTGAAGCAATTTTTTGTTTAAAATTTTATGGGAAGTTAAAGCTTGAAAAATAAATATTAAAAAGTATGAGCTTTTTTTCGTTTTACTTTGTATTTGTCAAGCTGGAGATGAATGAAATTACATTAGGTGACGAAATGATTGCTGGATTTACAACAGTAACAAAATACATCAGCCATTTCTAATTTGTTACTGTAAAGAATTGAGTCTTTTATCATGCAATATCTTTCTAAGTCTAAGGGTGAACTTTAAATTAATTCAAAGAAACAGCTTCTTTTGATTACTAGCAATTTAGTGAATTCAACGCTTCTTACTGATACTTGACTTACTTAACCAGTAAAGAATTAAATTTCTCCAAACTGATCTCCTTTATGAAGCAGCTTTAGTTGTTCGTTATTATTACTGTTATAAATCTCTACGCTTCCTTTTTCTATGAAATATATGCAATTGTCATTTTCTTCGTTTTAGGAAATAATCCTTTAACCAGGTCTGAATTCTTTTTACTCAATCAACTTTATAGTCTTTTAGATAATTTATTCACTGAAATTATTCCTATTTTTTTAAAAATTGATTACACAAAAACAAATTAAATTTCTTAAAAATTTTGTTTCCACTAAATTGAAAAATAACCATCAATTCAAAAGAAAATCAATCAATAAATTGAAAAAAATTTAGTTACCTAAAAAGCGTTGAGTTTTCGAAAATTATCTTATTAGCCTCAAGCATAATCTAATTTTGTAGGGTCTCTGGCAATAATTAGATTACTTTTTGCTATTTTTGAATATCTTCTTAATTTGACTGGATAAAAAAATATTGCAAATATTCTCTTACTTACACCTGTAAATCAGTAGAAATATTTTTTTTATGCATGAATCCATATATCGCATTAAAATGCTCATCATATTCTTTATTGTTAATGTCCATTTCTGATAATATTTGTCCAATAGAATTCAAGCTGTATCCAAACATACCACAAGCTATAAGCATGGTTAAAATAGAAAGTAAATATTCTATACTATTAACAGGTGTTATGTCACCGTAGCCCACAGTAATCATGGTTACAGTAGTGAAATAATAAGCTCTCAAATACTATTCATAGAAAGTTAGATTTTGTATTCCTTTTAATTTATCAAGCCAAGTATAAGAACAATTATTGATATTATTGTAAGTGTCTTATTAGCCACATATAATAGAATTTTATGTCTAATTTATTTTACCAACTACAAGCCAAATACAAGCAAACACATGAGAAACTATGAACAAATTGAAGAAAATTTGCATCAAGCTGATGATTCCTCGATTTATCTTTCTCAAATAAAACCTGTCATAAATTCTATTTTTGAATGAATTCTATTTGAAAACTTTTAGTAGCGCAACCACAAAAAAAATAATACTGAATCTATAATTTTAAATTAATTAAAGCTAGCTTCTTTGTGAAGCTAAAACAATCCACAAAATTGCAACAAAAGAGATGTTAAGAATACCATTTTTAGAAATATATTCAAGCAAGATAAGAGTTCTTGAGTGGAGAAGATTACCCTTTCTGTACTGGACTGTATTTAAATTGATGAAAATATCAAGAGTTGCTATAATAACAAGCAAAATATCAAGACCTTCAAAATAAAAAACTTCTTTGAAAAGAATGCCATAAATAAAATAAAGAGGAAGATAGAAGAAGAAGATAATTACAATTATCATATTAAAAATATCCCATATAAATTTCCATAAAGATTAAGGTAGAAATAAAGGAATAGTAGGAGTTCTATGCATTAATCTTTTTATTAAATTAATTGATTAAATTCGCTAAAAAATGAGATGAATAAACTTTTAAAAGCGGCTGTAATCATAAAACTCATAACCTTCCTTCTCCTAATTGTCATAATTTATTGTTTTATCTCTTAAATAGAAAAACTTCTGTCTTTATAGCATCGCAAGTCTTTTTGATTCAATATTTGAAGCCATTTTGTATGCGTAGTTTTTCATCTTCATAATTATGTGGATAAAATTTACAGTTCTTTTTTATGTTTTTTTTTAGTGTATTTACTTTTCCACTTCTGTAAACTTCTTTGATTCTTTTTTTCTTGATCCAACCTAAGAAGCCAAGCTTTATTTTTGCTTTTTGTTTGAGCTTACCATCGCCATTCCACTTAATTAAGACTAGTCTTAAAATAAATTTCTACCTTAATCATTAACTGACTATTCTATTAAATCTTACTAATTAGTCTTTTGGCAACTAAATTAAATTGATTGCGATTTATCCTGAGCATCTGCGGATTTACTATCAACATTAGAGTATCTTTATGGGCTATTTAAATTTAATCCATCTTGTTATGAAGCATTTTACTAGTCTGGAGGAATATTTGTTTGGCTATTTGCATTTTTCTTCCTAAAAGTTGGACTAATATTAAAATTTAAGTCACTGTTTATGCCGCATATTTGCGATATATTTGTTTTGTTTTCTACTTATTCATCCTATATAAGCGATTTGTTTTCATATTAAACAGAAACACTCAAAGAGCTTAATTACTATTTTTGTTCTTCCTTTATGAAGCTAAATTGATTATTTTTAGAACTCTCATTTTAAATATTGCTAATATCATTTTAACTTTAAGCTTATTTAAATGAATTATCTTCATTATAATACTAAAGTCTCTTTTTACTGTTAAGTACTTGCCCTATATTTGGAATTTTATTGCTAAAGTTAATTTCCTAAAATATTTATTTTGCGCTTAATTCTTAAAATGAAGATTAAACCCTATTTGTAGACACCATTTTTGTTCCAATTTCATCCTCTGTAAGAGTTTTTTCATTCTAGCGTTAGTGAAAAATCTCTACCATTTCATCATGCTCTTTTTAAGTTTTTTCAAAATTTAATTTTTAAATGCTTAGTCTCATCTTCCTTTTAATAATTAATTTATACTATTTATTATCTAAAAAATGTTTATAATTTGTATTACATATTTAATTTAATTTTAATTAATTTATAACCACAATTGATTAAATAAAACAATTATTTCAGCAGAATTTAATCAGTATTTATTAATATGCTAAATATGAAGAGAAACAGTTTGAATTTACTAATTAAGTACAAAAGCTTGTTATTTCTATTTAACTATAATTTGATCATAATTATTTTTGTAATTACTTATTTATAAAAAAATATAAAAAGTAAAATTAGATTTTTAATAAGTACTATCTATTTATTTATCAAAATAAAGAGTATATTATTAAACAAAAATAAAATCACAATTAATAAAAATTACTAGTTAACTTTAAATAAAAATTTGAAGTATTATAAAATATTTTTTTTGTTACTAATTTACCTTTAGTGATTTTTATAATTAAATATATTTTTTATCAATTTAACTTAAAGTTTACCAAGTATTTATTCAATATAATTTATTAGAGGGGAATACTTTCCATTTTTATTATATATTTTTAAGGGGGTTTTTTAAAAATGCAATCAAAATATTGAATTAATTAAAAGTTTGTATAATTTAATTCTATTTTTTTCATAAATTTTAAACACTAATTATAATTTATTTAAAAAAAGTTACTTTGGAGTGCTTGTACATCAGGCAGGCAACATAAAATAAATTTGCTTAAAATTATTTAGAATTTTTTTTGAAATATTTTACATTATAAATTATGAAAAGAAATAAACTATTTAAAAAATTAAATTCATAATTTCATAACTAATTTTCTTTTAAAAAAAACAATCATTCAACCTGTTGAATTTTTTTTGTGGTTTTCTTCATTTGATTCTTCCTAATTACTCTCTAATTAGTTTTGTTTAAGTATATTTTTTAAATATTGGATCGATTTTTTAGAATTTTCGTTATTATTTTATACTTAAGTTTTTTGAATTTTAATGAGTTTTTCATTATCATTTTTGTTTTAGAAACTTTTTTTTGTTTTGTAAATTTATTAAAATGCCTGATTTTTTCTCAAAAGAACTGAATAAGAGAGAATAACTCTGTCATAGTTATTTTAAGGTAAATAAACTTAGTAATTTTTTAGGGTTTCAAATTATAAATAACCTTGTTACATAGTCAGGCCATGAGGCATTTGAACCAGTTCTTTTAACTGCTTAATAAGCGCTTCATTTACCTATCTTTAATTTATACTGCTTAATTATTTGCTCATTAATAGAGGATTAAAAGATTTCTTTCTTTGAAGAGCTTCTGTTATCAAGGTACTTTTTTTAATACTCTCTCTCAAATTAGCATACTCTTTTTACTTTTGGTTCTTTTCATTTTGGTTAGCTATTTTTTATTGATTTATTTGCCTGTTGTAGAATTGATTATCATCTTGTACATTTTAATAACCAACTTAAGAGTAAGTGTCTTAATTGCTCAACTAATTGGAGGACTCATAATATGCATATTGTTAAATTATATCGTTAATGTAAGGATTATGGTACTAAATTCCATGCATAGGTTAGTTGTTAATATTATTTTATCCACTATTTTGGTGGTAATAATTTGCACTATTCACATTCACATAAATGTTGTTATTAGCAGATTTAGGAGATGACTCAGAGATATTCGATTGATGGCGCTGTCTATTTGTTGGAGTATTGAAATTTGAGCAATCTCCAACAGTTTAATAGTGATGAAAGTTAATTGGAGCAATATTATTATTGATAAATTAAGAAGACTAAACTTGAATAGACTTGTTATCTGCTTAATTATCTTCATTATTTTCTTACAAAGAATTTGTAGAGAATTATACTTTTTTGTTTAAATTAAAGGCATGAGGGCTCTGTGAGAAATCATCTAATGCTGAAAGTGCATGTTAAAAGTTATTATTAGATTTCTATTATATTTGCGTACTAGACTTATCAAACGGATATAACTCTGAATAAATATTCATACTTTAGCTATCTTAAATATTGGCAATTATATTCTTCGCTTTTTGATACTGAATTTTGATGTTGGAGAGTTAGTTTTAAATATTTTAGTTTGTTTTCATTTTCTAAAAATATTATTGGTTTTATTATTAGTTTACAGTTTTCAAGCTAGGATGGCTTGCATTTCCATTATTACACTTAAATTAAATGATCTAATCTTAAAACTCCAACTAAATGAGCTCATTGAACCATCCTTACGTATATAAATCCTCAATATTATCATCTACAAATTATCTAGCTCTATCTTCAATTTAATCTTATATTTGCAGAGTTTGGTAAGAGAACTTTCTTCTTTAAATATCTTAGTCTCTTACTTAAAAATCATTTTTCACATATTCTTTTATGATCTAAGTTAACAAAAATAAATTAATTTTTAAATAATTAATTAATAATTAATCTATTAAAAAATGCAAAAATGGAAATAATAATAATTTAATATTTTTTAAGTCCTTTTTTTATATGAAATAAAATAATTATTATTTAATTAACTTTGAAATAAAATTTTACTTAAAAATTTTGAATTTTAACTTGAAAAATATTTTGCTTAAAAAAAATAATTATTAAATTTAAAATAAAATTTACTTCAAAAATTTTGCATTTGAATTTGAAGTCGTTTTTTGTTTAAAATTTATGGAAAGTTAAAGCTTGAAAAATAAATATTAAAAAATATGAGTTTTTTTTCGTTTTACTTTGTATTTGTCAAGCTGGAGATGAATGAAATTACATTAGGTGACGAAATGATTGCTGGATTTACAACAGTAACAAAATACTTCAGCCATTTCTAATTTGTTACTGTAAAGAATTGAGTCTTTTATCATGCAATATCTTTCTAAGTCTAAGGGTGAACTTTAAATTAATTCAAAGAAACAGCTTCTTTTGATTACTAGCAATTTAGTGAATTCAACGCTTCTTACTGATACTTGACTTACTTAACCAGTAAAGAATTAAATTTCTCCAAACTAATCTCCTTTATGAAGCAGCTTTAGTTGTTCGTTATTATTACTATTATAAATTTCTACGCTTCCTTTTTCTATGAAATATATGAAATTGTCATTTTCTTCGTTTTAGGAAATAATCTTTTAACCAGGTCTAAATTCTTTTTACTCAATCAACTTTATCGTCTTTTAGATAATTTATTCACTGAAATTATTCCTATTTTTAAAAAAATTGATTACACAAAAACAAATTAAATTTCTTAAAAATTTTGTTTCCTCTAAATTGAAAAATAACCATCAATTCAATAGAAAATCAATATAAAAATTGAAAAACATTTAGTTACTTAAAAAGCTTTGAGCTTTCGAAAATTATCTTATTAGCCTCAAGCATAATCTAATTTTGTAGGGTCTCAGGCAATAATTAGATTACTTTTTGCTGCTTTTGAATATCTTCTTAATTTGACTGAATAAAATAATATTGCAAATATTCTCTCACTTACACCTGTAAGTCAGTTGATACGTTTTTTTTATGCATGTATCCATATATCGCATTAAAATGTTCATCATATTCTTTATTGTTAATGTCCATTTCTGATAATATTTGTCCAATAGAATTCAAGCTGTATCCAAACATACCACAAGCTATAAGCATGGTTAAAATAGAAAGTAAATATTCTATACTATTAACAGGTGTTATGTCACCGTAGCCCACAGTAATCATGGTTACAGTAGTGAAATAATAAGCTCTCAAATACTATTCATAGAAAGTTAGATTTTGTATTCCTTTTAATTTATCAAGCCATGTATAAGAACAATTATTGGTAATAATGTCAGGATCTTATTACCCGCAAATAATAGAGTCTTATGTCTAATTTATTTTACCAACTACAAGCCAAATGCAAGCAAATACATGAGAAACAATGAACAAATTGAAGAAAATTTGCATCAAGCTGATGATTCCTCGATTTATCTTTCTCAAATAAAACCTGTCATAAATTCTATTTTTGAATGAATTCTATTTGAAAACTTTGAATAGCGCGACCACAAAAAAAATAATACTGAATCTATAATTTTAAATTAATTAAAGCTAGCTTCTTTGTGAAGCTAAAACAATCCACAAAATTGCAACAAAAGTGATGTTAAGAAGACCATTTTTAGAAATATATTCGAGTAAGATGAGAGTTCTTGAGTGGAGAAGATTACCCTTTCTGTACAGGACTGTATTTAAATTGATGAAAATATCAAGAGTTGCTATAATAGCAAGCAGGATATCAAGACCTTCAAAATAAAAAACTTCTTTGAATAGAATGCCATAAATAAAGTAAAGAGGAAGATAGAAGAAGAAGATAATTACAATTATCATATTAAAAATATCCCATATAAATTTCCATAAAGATTAAGGTAGAAATAAAGGAATAGTAGGAATCTTTTGAATTAATCCTTTTAGTAAATTAATTGATTAAATTAGCTAAAATATGAGATGAATAAGCTTTTAAAAGTGGCTATAATCATAAAATTCATAGCCTTCCTTCTCTTAATTGTCATAATTTATTGTTTTATCTCTTAAATAGAAAAAATTCTGTCTTTATAGTAGGGCAAGTCTTTTTGATTCAATATTTGAAGTCATCTTGTATGCATAGTTTTTCATCTTCATAATTATGTGGATAAAATTTACAGTTCTTTTTTATGTTTTTTTTTAGTGTATTTACTTTTCCACTTCTGTAAACTTCTTTGATTCTTTTTTCTTTGATTCAATTTAAGAAACCTAGCTTTATTTCTGCTTTTTGTTTGAGCTTTCAATTGCTATTCCACTTGATTAAGATTAATTTGAAAATACATCTCTACCTTAATCATTAACTGACTATTCTATTAAATCCTACTAATTGCTTTTTTAGCAACTAAACTAAATTGATTGCGATTTATCCTGAGCATCTGCAAATTTACTATCAATGTTAGAATATACTTATGGGCTATTTAAATTTAATCCCTCTTGTTATGAAAAATTTTACTAGTCTAGAGGAGTGTCTGTTTGGCTATTTACACTCTTCTTCCTAAAAGTTGGACTAATAATAAAATTTAAGCCACTGTTTATACCACCTATTTGCAATATATTTGTTTTATTTTCTACTTGTTCATCCAATATAAGCGATTTGCTTTCATATTATACAGAAGCACTCAAAGAACTTTATTGATATTTTTATTCTTTCTTTATGAAGCTAAAATGATTATTTTTAGAACTCTCATTTTAAATACTGCTAACATCATTCTAAGTTTAGGCATATTTAAGTGAGTTATCTTCATTATAATACTAAAGTCTCTTTTTACTGTCAAGTACTTGCCCTATATTTGGAATTTTTTTGCTAAAATTATTATCCTAAAATATTTATTTTGTGCTTAATTCTTAAAATGAAGATTAAACCCTGTTTGTAGACACCATTTTTGTTCCTATTTCATCCTCTGTAAGAGTTTTTTCATTCTAGCGTTAGTGAAAAATCTCTACCATTTCATCATGCTCTTTTTAAGTTTTTTCAAAATTTAATTTTTAAATGCTTAGTCTCATCTTCCTTTTTAATAATTTATTTATAATATTTAATATATAAAAAATGTTTATAATTTGTATTACATATTTAATTTAATTTCAATTAATTTATAACCATAATTTATTAAATCATGCAATTATTAGAGCAAATTAAATTCAATCAGTAGTTATTAATATTCTAAATATAAAGAGATACAGTTTTAATTTTCTAATTAAGCAAATGAGGTTGTTATTCTATTAAACTATAATTTAATCAAAATATTTTTGTATTTATTTATTTGTAAAAAAATATAAAAAGTATCTATCTATCTATCTACCAATATAAAATTAGATTTTTAATAAGTACTGTTTATTTATTTATTAAAATTAAGAGAGTATTATTGTTATGTAATAAGTTATTATATTTAACTTATTATTATTAAAAAACATGAATAAGTAAAGAACTTCGAAATAATTAAATTCTTGTGGATGTTATGTATGTATGACACAAGAAAGAAGAACTATAGATTAAAATAATAAATTCTAATTTTTTAAATTTATTATTAAAGTCTTCTTTTATTATTGTTAAACCAAATTTATTTTTTTTAAATTAAAATGTAAAATTTTAAATTAAGTTATTTATTTATTTTATATAACATTTTTATTTACTTATTTATTAAAAGAAAAATGTTGAATTATCTTTTTTTGAAATTAGATTATTATATGGCTAATAGGTTAGAGTGAACATAATTTCATTTCAATAATAATCTATTATCACAGTTTTACTTATTTATATTCGCATGTTAAAGAAAGTTATAAAAAAAAACTTTTCTTACTCTTTTAAAAAATAAATAATCTAATTTACCTAAAATTGGAAAATATTGAGGATAAATAGCATGCTGATTTTTAATAGGATAAATTTATCTTAAAGCTAATATAGTTTTTTATCTAAGAAAGTATTTTTATAACATTAAAATTCACTTTTATCTAAAAATAAATAAAGAAAGAAAGAATTGATTATTCATAAAATCTGAAATTAAATTTCCTTTAAGTCTTTTTGTCGATAAAAAAAAAGATGTAAAAGTTATAAACCTATTATAAATTAGAAGATGTAATTTTTTATTATAAAGAGTATTAATAAACGAATTTTATTTTTATTAATTTAAAGTTGTTAAGCTCATCAGAATTATCCAACTCAGATCTTTAACTTATTTTCCAGTTAAATTAAAATTATTGAACAAATTTTTAATATTTTTTAACAATTTATTAATCTGATTCATTCATTTATTTTTTAAATATATTTTAAATAATTTTGAATAATATTTATTTATTTATTATAACTTACAATTCTAATTTTAAAATATTTTTAATAGCTTTTTAACATTTGAAAATAATCTAGAGTGTCTAAGCTCTAAATTAGCTAACTTCACTAATCTTACAAATCTTAAAATTAATATTTAGTAAATTTTTTTGTTGATTTATTTATTTATTTTTCTTAAATGCTCTCATAAAAAATTAAAATATCAAAAATTATTAGTAGAATTTTCTTATTTTAAAAGAAGTTAAATAGTAATATATAATTAATTTAAATATAACTTATAATATAAGATCTTTGTTTATAGCCTAAAGTAATACATAAAGATTACATCTTTTATTTGCTGGCTGCACCAAACTCACCAATTTGGAGCTTATTTTAGGGTAAAAATATATATTTATTATGCGTTTTATTAAGTTATTTTAATTCTTTTATATATTTAAGTTATCTTAGAGCATTAACTTAAAAAAAAAGTATTTTATTTATTTATTTAATCTTTTAATTATAATCATAAAATTAAAATAAATTAATAAAATAAAATATGTTTTTTTTAAATTAACAAGAAAATATTGTCTTGGTAAAAATGGTTTATCTGATATAATTCAAGGTCTTGAAAAATGTGCAAACCTTTCTTCCTTGTAACTTGATCTTTCGTAAATAATTATTTTTATTTTTATTAATCATGGGTTTTTTTTTATTATTCAAACATAATTAATTATAAATATTTTTTTCAATTTTTTCAAACTCTTTCATTCTTTTAATTGAAAATCCCTCCCTTAAATGATATTCCGAAAAATTAATTGGATTATTTTTTTTTATTTTTAGAGGGAGTATATTTATTAATTAAATGTAAAAATTTATAAAATGAAAGAAAAATAAATTTCTCAATTTATGATTTTAGTAATTTGATGGCTGATGAAGAATTAGTTATTTATTTTTTATTTTTTTATTTTTTTTTATTTGCTTATTAAGTTTAAAATTGGTAAAATTAATTTTAATAAACTAAAAGAAATAATATAATGTATAGTGAAGTGCAAAATTTATTTTCTTCGTTAACAAAGATCTCTAATCTTTAAATTTTAGGACTTAAGCTTATGTAAATATAAGAAAATCTTTAAATAATTAATTCATAAATATGTTTTTATTTAAATTAATCAACGATTGAAAAATTAATTCAATTTCTTTTATTTATTTTTTGTTAAATTTTTACTCTAAATTTATTTCAGTAATTTTTTTGATATTAAAAATAAAATATTAAATTTAAGTAAAAATTATCTTGATGTTTAAGATTAATCAATTTTGAGTTAATCTTTAGCAAACTGCTAGACACTGACTGATTTAAGACTTACCTTAAAGTAAAATAGATAGATCAACTTAATTGCTTTATTAAAAATATTATAATAAATGAAAGAATTATCCATACCTTCATTTTATTTTAGATTTTTCTTTATTTTTTTAGTTTTCTTTTTCAAAAATATTCATAATATATGAAAAAGTTAAAATTTAGTTGGTGATTTAGGTCTTTCAAAGTTAACTCATTTAACAAAAATTCCAAATCTTTCTTATTTGATGTTATTTCTTTAGTAAAAAAAAATCTTTTATTTTAAAATATTTATATTAATTCAATCAATTAGTCATTAATTAATTTTTTAAATTCTTATTAAACAAAAAAATAAAAAGTAAATTATAAATAAAAATATTTATTTTAACAAAAGAGATTGTTAGATTGGTAATGAGGGTGTCAATTATTTAGGATTCTCATTAACTTAAGCATCTAAACTCAGAAGCCTGAACCTGAATCTTAAGTAAAATATTTTTCTTTTTTTATATTCATAAAATGGTTAGTTAGCATGCATGAAGGAAATATTATTTTAATCAATTTTTAGATACTTATTTAGCTAACTTTTCATTTTCAAATTAAGATTAATTAGCTTATATTTTTAAAGTAGTTTTTAAAGAAAATTAACACCATCATAAAATATGAAAAGATAAAATAAAATAGGAGATTAGGGCACTTACGATTTAACTTATTTTTTAGCAAAAAAGACTAATCTTTCATCATTAATCATTAATCTTTAGTAAATTTTACTTTTATTCAAGTTTCTTTTTTTTTCTGAAATAAAAAAAAATAAATATTATATTATATTTTTTTATTTTTATTTATTAATAGGAATAATAAAATTTCTTATCAAAGCACAGAAAAAATAGGATTTTATTTTGCAAATCTCTTTCATCTAACAAAATTGGGTCTCTATCTTGAGTAAATTAATAAAAAAACTTTAAAAATTTAATTTTTATAATGGCTTAGCTTGCTTGATTTTATCAAAAGTTAAGAAAAACAAATATTAAAGTTAAAAATGAATTAAATAAATTTATTGTTAACTTTTTATTAAAAGATAGAAATGCAAGAATTTAATACCATTTTATAGATATTTTTATTTAAACTCATTAATTACATTTAACTGTTCATAAAAAATAAAAATTTATATGTAAATTTTATTAAAAGCTAAAACTATGTTTAAACTAAGAGGATCTCTGATATAGTCTTAAATTTAAAAAACTGCAAAAATCTCTCATCATTTTATTTCAGCATTTAGTAAGCATCAAATAAATTATTAATTAATTTTAAAGTTTTTATTTATTATTTAGGTAGTTAGGATATCAATAATAAATATTAAAAATATATCTATCTATCTATCAATCATTTCATTTATTCTATTTTTTTTCTCATTTTAAATAAAAGTAAAATATTAATTAAATTATTTAATAGCCTTCTTGATAATGAGAGTTAATTTTTTTAAGATTTAAATTCTACCTTAACAAACTGTTCAAAACTTTCAGAACTTTCACTAACAGTTATGTAAATTATATCTTTATTTCATTAATTAATTAGATAAATTTTAACACCGCAAATATTCATAAATAAAATCTATTTAGGTTAAAATATTAAATTTTAAGTTCCTTAAACAAAAAATTACTTAATCAAAAGCTTATCTTTGAATAAAAATAGCTTATTTATTAATTAAGGATTTAGAGTATATTGACTAAATTTTCATTTAATTTTTCAATTCAATTAAAACAAAAATTAAATAAAATTAAGATAGAAGATTAAAAATTAATTTTAATTTTTAATTGTGCAAAAAATGAAAAATAAATATTCTTCTTTCTTTTATCAATTTTATTTACAAATTTGAAATTATTAAGTGAATTAACTAAACAAATTTCTAAATTAATTTTTTGTTTATTAAAAATACAAAAAAATATTAATTGATTAAAAGATGTGGTTAAATTGATGATAAGAGTATTTAAAATTTAGTGTCTTTATTAATTAATTGTAATAATCTTAACAACTTGGATCTTGGGATTGGGTAAATTTATTTATTTATTATTTAATTTAATTTAATTTAAATATATTATATATAGATTTAATTAAATTCTTATTTTAAAATTAAGATTTATTAAATTGAAATATATACTTTTAAATTTCTCAAATATTAATAAATTCATTTTATTTAAAACTAAAAATTTTAAATTTAAAACAATTAAAAGCTGCAGTAAAATATCTTTTGAGAACTTATTAAATCTATGCTCTTGTTTATCAAAATGCTAAAAACTATCATTTCTAACACTCAAATTTGAAAAAAAACAGTAAGATTTTGTTTCAGTATTAATTTTTTTATAACTAATATTGATTGAAATACCTATGAATAATAAATATATTTAAGCTAATGTATTTTAATCTTCTTCAAAAAAAGTATAATAGAATAAAAAAAGAGATAGCTTGCTCTAAAAATTTTTAAGACAAATAGATTAGTCCAAATGAATATTAATTAGTGAATATTGATAATTACAATAGAAAATATAATGCATTTGATAAAAATTTTAATAAATGAAGTAGTAAATTATTTTAATTTTAAATTTGATTTTATACTTACTTACTTACATATATATCTATCTAGTTTATAATAAATAAATAATTACAAATAATAATTTTATTTAGTAAAATAACAAAATAAATAACTATTATATTGTTCTTATTCATTCATATTTTGCTTTTTTTATTTAAAGGATAATTTAAAAGGTAAAATTAAATATTAATTAATAATTATCTGCATTTTTGATTATTTTATTAGTTTAAAAATTAAATTTTCATTTTTTGTTTATTTTATTTATATTAAGAAAAAATAATTTTAAATAAATATGAGCAAATAAATAATTTT